CTTTGACCCGATGTCCCTCTTTGTTACAAATGTAACACATGCCATTAAACTTGTATTTCTTAGTTTCCCCTCCTTAGATTGCATTTTCTTCTGCCATCTTTTAAAAACAGTTCCTAAGAACTTTCCTGATTTTTTACCATGATTCACTGGCACAGTCCCAACATAAGGAGGGGTTAGTGTGATGACAATCACCATACCAATACTGGTTTGAATATTAGTTTAACCAATTTCAGTAGCCATAAATTTTAAATTATAAAACAAAATTATAATTAGAATTTACATTACACAGAAAATTAAACCAAATTCACAGAATTAAATTCTGTAAAAATAAAAGAAATTAGAACGTAACTTTTATTTTTCAATTAATTTGGAAATAAAATAAAATTTTATTTAACCAAATTAATTTCACACAGAAAATTAAATTTCTGTTTCACTTCAATAATTAAAATACTGAAACAGAATTTTAATTAACAAAAACTTAGAAAATAATTTTCAAAAACCAAAATTAATTTCTGAAAAAATTTCACAAAAATATATTCTGAATTGTTAACGACACAAGTATATTACTACTAGTTGTTAAAGAAAATAGACAGTATATTACTATTATTTGTCAAATAGCATATAATCACTATTTGTTTTTCCAACTAGAATATTATTTTGTAAATCCACAGAAAATAATTTTCTTAAAAGAAGAAAGAGAAAAGGAAACAAACGAAAAATTCTGTAAACAGAATAATTCGAATCTGTCTTAAGATTGTTGGAACAATCTTCTGTGTAAATAAAATAAACTGAAACAAAATTCAAACAAATAAATAAATAACGTATTGAATTTATTTATCGAAGAAAATTGAAAGACCAAGTCGAGTGTGTGACACTCTGTCCTTAAGACAGATTCGCCTTGCTACGGTGCTTACGGTTATGTGGCGTCTATCTCCTAGGATACAATGATCTTAACCAATTTGTAGTAACACTCCAAAACAAATTGAACGGCGAATCAAACCTGTGTTCTAACTCTCTGAAATTTATTCTAAAACTAATATGAAGAGTAATGCACCAAAGACAAAAGTTGGACAGCACAAAGGAATTAATTTCAGACTGTTTTTCTTTTTTTCCCCATCGAATACTGCTAGAAATGTTGGTATATAAAGGCATACAAAGGTTGTCCGAACAGGTAAGTATCTGTAACTTCAACCCTTGAACAGATTTAGTATAGAAACTAGACAGATCTGCAACTGTGCAAATTTTGAATATGTCTAGAATTTCAACTGTGCAGATTTTTGAATCTGTCCAAAATTTCAACAGATTGAAAACCTGTCTGGACAAAAATTTACTTGATGTTTGATACAAACAAAATCTGCTGGAACAAGTCTAGAATATATAGACCCGAACAGGTACTAATCTGAATTGAACAGATGCTGTTTGAAAATCAAACAGATTTGGCAGTTACAACAAATAACTGCACAGCAATTAAATTTGTTCGGGATAGTTCGAATCTGTTCGGGTGTAACGGATTTTGAGACCTGTTTGGACTGATTAATTTGTTCAAAAATAATGGACTGGAAGAGGAAATATATGGACAGAAAATAAATTCAAATTTGAATTTATTTCGGTTCAGAAAATAAAATTTTCTCGAAAGAATTTTGGAAAAAATTCAAATGAATTTTGTCCAAAAATTAATATTAGAACCGACCCGACCCACACCCGCGCCCGGCACGGCCGGCAGCGGTGGCACACGCGTGTGGTGGTTTGGGCTAAGGTTCACTTTGTCCATAACTCCTCCCTTCTACAAACTTGAGGTACCCCTTAGAGCCCAACCCAAGTGTTGTAATCTAGAGCTTATAAACACAAAAAAACTCTCTTAAAATTTCAATGTGGGGCAACTCATTTCAAGGAAACCCACATTTCATTCTTTAAATGTCCATTCCACGAACCCGAAAACGACGTCACGTTCCCATTCACTCATAAATGGTTTTGACGAACCGTCTTCACCGTGTGACTTGCCACGCGGCAAGGAACACTTCACCTCTTCGAACCTACCCCAAAAGACGTTTGTGGCCCATTCAATTTTGGGCTCAAAGTTGGCCCAAAATAAGCCATATAAAAACCAATTTTCCAACAAGAAGTCCTCCAAGTGAACTAGACTTCAAGAGCGTTGGTCCCCTTGCAATATCTATAGAATCTATTGATAAATATCAATTGGTCCCCTAGCAATTTGATCATATATGGTGTCATTTTCTTATGACATGAACATGCACAGATACATACAACTACATATATATATATAATGGGTTCATACTAGAATACTAACCCTCAAAAGGATGTGTATCATGCAAGTTATGACATTTATGGTATTGATTATCATAAATCTCATAATGAAATCAATTTTAGTCACAACTAAAAAAATAATGAATCATAACCAAATATCACATAAGGTATAACTAAAGACCTTTTTGACTATAACTAAAATAATAATCACAATAAGTTATAGCTGAATCATAACCAACACTACAATTAATCATAACCAAAGACCACAAACGTATAAAATTCCCCATATAATATGGTTTTAAGATTGATAATAAATAATTCTTGTGAGTTTTTGGTGGTCAACTTGTTATGAACTTATCAATCCACATAATTATTGTGTTGGATACATTGCAATTGAATTTTGAGACCCAATTTCAACTTTTTGCAAGTGCAAATATATAAAATACATTAGAATGCTCACTTGTCTTTTTATAATCTTTGAGTCCCACATAGGTCTCCAACAAGGTTAATAGTTACTAAAGCACCTCTATATAAGTGTGGGTCTGGCCCTTGATAAGCAGGGCTGGAAACAAGCTTCCCTTATCAAATATTTGCTTCAATAGACAAAAGTTGCCTTCATCGAGCTAATTCCAACCAAGCTCGAGCTTAGTTAATGTAGCTCGACTTGAGCTCGAGCCGAGCTTGAACATTGTAATACTCGGCTCAGCTCAGCTCAGCTCATTTGCAGCCCTACTTGTGACCAACAATGGTATGAAACTGTTAACATCAGCAAAAACTCAAAGTGGTGGGATAAAAATGAAATTGTCAGTATCAACAACAATCACCACCCAACTAAATGCCACCTCCAAAATTAACTAGCAGATCCCCAACTTATCTTTAATGAAATTGTCCCCATAGAAAGCATATTTCCAATATCACATTCTCAAATTCAATTAAGCATTTTGAGTAGCAAGTTTCATCTAACCATTACCATCCACTAACTTAATGAAGCTTCAATAACCTTCCATATACACTACCTTCATGAAGGTTTTACTGTACTTCAGACCTGAGCAAGTGTCATCTACCAAAGGATGATCATATACACTTTCACATCATGAATACACCAAGAGCTAAAGGAACATGTCATCAAAACAGGTCAAGTTCAAACATTAAACACCAGAAAGGCGCCCAAAGTCTTAACCAATGTTATAAGCTAATACTGAATGTGCTACATCATCCTATTTATGCCAAAGCTGGGAGGTAGTCTCAACCAATTATTTTGTGTCAATTTCTTTGCCTTGTAAAGGCTTCATTTTGATTAGAAACCTTCCTCATTGGTGCATCTGTTAATCCTAACCACTGACTTCTCTAAAAATACATCAATTTCCAAGCTCATTAGTACGCATACCTATTTGCTGATGGCTCTAACGCATCTTCTTATTATATTTTTATTCATCCGTCTATTAGATTTATCTCATCATTTAATAAATGATGCTCTAGATTTTTAGAGTTTAGACCAGTAACCATGACATGAATAACGAGCCATGCTGGTCCCTTGGACCATAAAATTTGAAAAATAGTAACGAATAGAAAGAAAACATGTTCAAAAACAAAAAAACAAAAACCAAAAAACTAGGGCTCCCAAATAAATGCAAACAGAGAATACCAGTATGTTGACTATAAAAATTGATGGAAATAAAGACAGATTACAATGTTTCCAGTAAAATGATAAATTGTTGACAGTAAAAGTAGCTTTCGTCACTTGCAGTAAAATGATAGTTTCTACTTAGTGCCGAGGCATACCTTTTCATTTTCTGAAACCTTCACCAAAATTCGGGCTACATTTGCTATTTGGCTGCTCACCTTTCCCATGCACAGGATGTATATATAAACATAATATCCGATTAAATATTCAAAATTAAGTTTGTTAAAAAATTACCGATTCAAGTTCAAAATATAAAGAAATACCATGGTGAATGGGCTCCAACTGCAACTGATTTCAATATTGACCGCGATTTAGATCCAAAAGCTTGCCCACATTGCAACAAAACCTGTTATGTTCTTTAATTTTGATGTTGTTCAACTTATATTTTGTTATACATAATGTTTATGTTCTTTACGTAAATCCAAGCGTGTATGGAGACAGAAAAACTCGATTATTTGTGTATTGGACTTAAAATCAAACCCATTTACAACATTAAACCCATAGAACACTAGAAATCAAACCAGTTAAACCAAATCCATTTAAGAAATCAACACGAAATTAAACTGAATAAATCATTTCAAACCCTAGAGCAAAAGTGAGAAATGGGAAAATAAAGGAAGAATATTAAACCCTAGAGCAAGAGAGAGCGATGGTGGAGAGAGAGGGGGGAGAGAGAGAGAGAGAGAACCTGAATGTAAGCTGGAGGCGAGACAATTGTGATGTGCGACTGTGATTTGCATCTGTGGCGATGTGCGACGTCGCATGGCGGTGAGCGATGGCGAGATGAGCGGATCGCGGTGAGGTTTGGTGGTGTTTGATTTTGTGAGAAAGAGAGAGAGAGAGAGAGCATATGAGAACCTGTTTGTATTCCAAATAGATTTGATACCAAAAATAATAATAATAATAATAATTAAAAATAATGGGGCCAATCCAAAAAAATTTCGTAGTTAAAAAAAAAATTGAAAATTTTCTTTTTATCTTTCGCGATTAAAATATTTTTTAGTCGCTGAAAATAAATATTTAGCGACCAAATTTTGGTTGCCAAAGATAAAAAATAAATTTTTATTTTTCATTCATTGAGCGACTAAATAATTTTAGTAGTCAAAACTAACTATACGGCGACTAAAAATATTTTTTAGTCGCTGAAAATAAATATTTAATGACCAAACTTTTGGTCACCAAAGATAAAAAGTAAATTTTTATTTTTCATTCGGCGATTAAAAATTTTAGTAGCTAAAACTAACTATACAGTGACGAAAATAATATTTTAGTCGTTGAAAATATATTTTTGGCGACCAAACTTTTGGTCACCAAAGATAAAAAATAATAATTTTAATAGCCAAAACCAACTATACAGTGACTAAAATATTTTTTAGTTGCTGAAAATAAATTTTTGGTGACCAAACTTTTGGTTGTCAAAAATAAAAATTAATTTTTGTTTTTCATTCAGCAACTAAATAATTTTTGTAACCAAAACTAACTATACAGCGACTAAAATTTTTGTTTAGCCAATTGTGGCAAATTTAGCGACCAAAGTTTTTATCAGTCGCCAATTGTGAAATTTTTAGCAACTAATTTTTTTTTAGTAGCCAATAATCAATATACTCTTATTAAAAAAATTTAGTAGTTAAATATTATACTTTTGTCGACTAACATGATTTTTGGTCGCCAATTCTATAATTTTTGGCAACTAAAATTGTTTTAGTCGCCAAAAGTGATCGCCAAAAGTGTATTTTCTTATATTGATACTAAATGCAACTAAACATTAAAATTTTTTATAAATGTCACTAAAAGGAAAAAAGAAAAAAAAAACGAAAAAAAAGAAGCCTAAAAATCTAGCGAAAAAGCAGTTACCAAAAATAATATTACCTTTTACTAAGTTTAGAAAAAAAAAAATCAAAAAATATATATATATATATATATATATTGTGGTATTAAAGATGGTTTATAGATAGCCTTACAAACCGACTACATGAGACCAAGACTTTCATGTTATGTTTGATGGGAGGATTTGAAAAGAGAAAAGAAAGATATTTGTGAAATTAGATGAAATTTAAGTATATTTTATTCATATTTTACTTATCTTTTTCATTTTCTTTTCTAAATCACTCCTCAAATCTCATAATCAAACACTGCGTCAAGGTCTTTTCATAAAAATCACTGAATAAAAATAAAATATTTGCTCATGGCATTAGCAGCCACAATAACAGTATTTAGGCTTGGTTTGGGTACTTCAAAAAAGTTAAAAAGTCAAAAAATTACTCAAAAAGTTAAAAAGTTATCACTATTCACCTAAAACGGGACCCGTGGTAGGCCTCCACAGGCCGAACAACACCTTCAATTCACTGCCCGAAAAGCAGGGAATCATCTCCCCTCCCCCCACTTTGCACGCACTGTCCCACACCGTATAGCTATTCCATCACTTCCATTACAATCTTCTCTTACACACTTATTTATACAATTTTTTAAAACATATTTTTTTTATATAAAAAGTCAAAAAGTTAATCTAAACATCTATATTTTTTTCCTTAACTTTTTAATCTAAAAAAATAAATGTGTACTTATTTAGGACACTCCAAACAATCCCTCATTTGGCAACATTGCTAATTAAGAAGTGTCAAGTGCATGAGATGTCCGCCAAGAAAAACAAGACGAGAAAATTAAAATTTTATTTTGTATTTATTAAAATTTTTATAATGTACCAAAAATTGTAAAGTTTTTTACGAACTTCTATACCAAATGCACCTAAACTTAAAATTTTTTTGAGTAAATTATGCAAATAGTTCCTATAGTTTATACAATGTGTCAATTTGGTACTTATAGTTTTAATTTGATCGATTTTGCCCCTTAATTTAACGGATTGTGTCATTTTAGTCCAATAAATAACGGTTGTTAAGTTAATTTAACGAAAGGTTAAACAATGTGTCAACTTAGTTTCTGTACTTTACACGATGTGTTAATTTGGTCTCTATAGTTTCAATCTTCTCGATTTTGACAGGGAATAAATTGACACATTGTGAAAAATATAGGGACCAAATTGACATATTGTTTGACTTTCAGTTAAATTCACTTAACAACCATTATTTATTGGACTAAAATGACACAATCCATTAAATTACGGGATAAAATCGAACAAATTGAAACTACAGGGATCAAATTGATACGTCAGGTAAACTATAGAGACTATTTCCATAATTTTCTCATTTTTTTGCCAAAGTTTTATAAATGTCACTGAAAGCAAAAAAGAAAAAAAAAAAAAAAAAACCTAAAAAACTAGCGTAAGAGCAGCTACCAAACTATAAGTTGCCTCATATGCTACATTTTTGCAACCTTCCCAACAACTAAAAGATCCATTCAAGAAACATTAGGATTAATTGAAGTAACGATCCTGCCAATTGTAGACACCCCATTTTTGACCGACCTTAAGACTCAGACATCACCGATTGAGCGCTTGGTGACATTGCATAATGTGCTCGTTCAGAAGTTTCAGAGTCGCGGCCGTGAGCCCTGCCTCCGGACTTCCGAACCCTCTTCTGTGCCTTGCCTCGGCT